CCCCAAAACCCCAAAACCCCAAAACCCCAAAACCCCAAGACTCCGAATATTTAATAATACTAGATAGATAAGGATTGATAAAAAATCACAAAATATATTAATTTATTTTTGAGTATATTAAAGACAAAGCATGGAACGATAAGAGCAAGACGTAGAAATGAAGTCTTACGAGCAACTCGTAGTTGATTAGCAGAAAAAGACTGGGAAAGTCACCAAGCAAGATTTCCAAATGCTCTCAGTCATTGGAAAAGGCTCTTATGGGAAAGTTATACTTGTTAAAAAGAACGATACTGGGGAATTGTATGCAATGAAGGTTTTAAAAAAGAGTGAAATCCTTAAAAGAAATCAGGTTGAGCATACTATGACCGAAAGAAGAATTCTTGTAAGTAAATGAAAAGATTTGTATCTCTCTGCAATCATGATAAAATGATTGTGGAAATCCAAGTTAAATTAGCAATATATACTTATTATCGATGTATAGGGTTCTGTGAAGCACCCATTTATAGTAAAAATGGATTACGCATTCACCTCAGAGACTAAGCTCTTCTTTGTCCTAGAATACTGCCCAGGTGGTGAACTTTTCTTCTATCTTTCTCAAATCGGTAGATTCAAGGAAGATGCTGCCAGGTTCTATGCCTCAAACATTCTTCTTGCACTTGAAAACCTCCACTCATTACACATTCTCTACAGAGAGTAAGCAATCACTTTACCTAATTAACATGAATTTTAGTTTGAAACCAGAAAACGTATTGGTCGGTCGCGATGGATATGTTAAGTTAGCTGATTTCGGGCTTTCAAAAGAAAATGTCGAAGGTAACCATGAAGCTAAGAGTTTATGTGGCACAGCTGAGTATCTCTCCCCTGAGATCCTACTAAGGTAGGGACATGGTAAGGCTTCTGATTGGTGGTCGTTTGGAGCCATGATTTATGAAATGCTATGTGGGCTTCCACCTTTCTACTCAAAGGAAAGAGAAAAGCTCTACAAAAATATTAAGTATGGAGAACCAAGACTTGACATGCCATTCTTAAGTGAAGCTGCTAAGGATCTTTGCAGAAAACTACTTGAGAAAGACCCTAACAAAAGGCTAGGTAGCGGAGAGAGAGATGCATTGGACATCAAGGAACATCCTTGGTTCGAATGCATCAACTGGCAAGCTATTGCTGAGAAGAGAGTTCCTCCTCCTTACAAGCCATAACTTGATCAATCTACAGATACTAAGCATTTCCCATAAGAGTTCACAGCCATGAAGCTTAGTCCATAGGATGTTGAAAGTCTAAAAGATGTCAATGATCACGGCTGGGGCGGATTTAGTTATGAGAACACTGGCGTAACTAACGATGCTGATTATGAAATGAATCAATCATGAAGCTGCTTAGCCCATGAGGTATCTGAATATGAGAATATTAGATTCTAAAAGTAATTAGTTCAAACTGCATGATTGCTTCTCAGATTATATTATCATTTCCAATTCTATCATTTGAGGAGCTTTGTATGTATTTGCTGCTATTTTCAATCTATCATTAATCTTTAAATATCATACCTCACATCAATCTGATAAAGTATACCTAACGGGGTTTTGGGGTTTTGGGGTTTTGGGG